TGAACTCTACCTCTTTGCTGCGTAATTTGGAAATGTACCTAGAGGACTCAGGCTACTTTGTTTTGAAGAGACGCTTGCTGGAGTAGGAAGAACTACATTTCCCTTTAGCTGCTCAGGCCGTACATAAGACAGACTTGTGATCGCCATACGTACACAGTAGAGTACCGACACAACTCTTGACGTCAAATAGCTAAGTTCTTGTCCAAGCTGGACCTCTTGCTATGCCTGAAGTGGGAGGCATATAGGATAGCTGTATACCTTCTTCTATCTGCATCAGGGCCGAAACCTGAGATGAGCTGAGGTTGGTTTTAGATCTGATAAGGGACTTTATGCTATGGGTACAGAGTAAATGAGGTAGAACAGAAATAACACTGCTAGGAAGAGGAAAAGCAAGAGTGCAGCAAGAATATATGTGGAGGCAGGGGAAATGGTTAAGCCAACTGCTGAACGTAGGGAGCCAAGATTTTTATTGGGTACCAAGTTACTAATTTCTTAGATGTACCAATATTCTAGTTGTGAGTTTGAGAACCTTTCTAGAGTTTATCCTTCAGTGGGCAGCGGTATCATGTGTTCGCTTCTTAGGCAAACAGGACAGGGCACGTAGCTCAGGGCAGGCCAGGGCAGATTCTGATCCAGGGCTGACATTAATGCCAGTGAACATGGGCAGATTTTCCCAAGGAGCTTTGTTGAAAAGATGGTAGGGAGAGGAGCAGAGGATGGGAGACAGAGGAAGAAAGGGAGTCATGTGATCCTGTCCGGATTCATGGGATTAGGGGATGAAAGAAATAGGAGACTCCAATCAAAACTGTGATCGCCATTAAATACTTCACTTTCATATTTTATTTATTATTATTATTTAAAAAACTTTTTGGCCTCACTGTGGGGCTTGTGGGATCTTAGTTCCCAGATCAGGGATCGAACCCAGGCTCTCGGCAATGAAAGTCTTAAGCACTAGACCGCTAGGGAAATCCCAGGGGACAGAAATCTAAATAAAATGTGGTTAGTTTAAGGGGTCAGGGCAAAGGAAACTCCTTGGCCCCATAGAACGATATTCTTCAACCCCTTTTTCCTTCTCCATTTCTTAATTCAGACTTTGATTTGTGGACTTCTAATTTTCTGTGGGCTTATCAGCAGGCAGCATGGACCAAGGTTATGGTCTGAACTTCAACGCTATCCTAGTTCAGTGAAAGTCTCCTTCTTTGGTCCATGTTGCTTGCTAGAATGGTAGCCTCAGCCTTCTGGCTTCACTTCACGGATAATTAGCTCAGGTCTGGAAGATGGGTGGCCATGAAACATGGGGTTTTTGGATGAGCATTTCCTGGTTTTGATTTATCCATTTGCCTAATCCTGAGTTGGAGGAGGAAATGGTAACCCACTCCAGTATTCTTGCCTAGAGACTCTCAAGGACAGAGGAGCCTGGTGGGCCGCAGTCCATAGGGTCACAGGGAGTTGAACGAGACTGAGCGTGCATGCACTAATCTTGAGTAGACCAGGGATAACGATGATGATAACAACAGCCACTATTTGTTGAGCACCATGTTGGCACTGTACCTACTTCAGTCCTATAAGGATTCAGTGGAATAGGTGATATGATTCTCATTTTACAGAAGAGAAACTGAAGCTCCAGAGGTGGTGTTCCTTGCTCAAGGAGTTATGTATGTCTGACTCTAAAGCTTTGCTTTTACCCACCACTGTGCTATATTGGATGGCTACCTTTTGGAGATCTTTAAATAAAAAGGTCTTTTTTTTTTTTTTCTGTGTAGCATGTGGAATCCTAGTTCATTTGAAACCACGCCCCCTGCATTGTAAGGTGGAGTCTCAACCACTGGACACTGGGGAAGTCCGCTAAAAAGGCTTCTTATCCTTAAGTGCTACTGTTTGGTCTGAAGCAGCACCAGGAAAATTTAAGATGTACTGACTCTCAACAGTGGAAAACTCTGGTAGATTTTGAAGGGGACTGAAATATATTTTTCTCAGTAGTGACAGGAGGATGGTTGAGAGCCCCTTTGGACCAGAACCTTTTGGCTGTTCTGAGAACAATATCTGGCATATAGTATGAACTGTGGACCTAGTGAGAAGAATGCACTTAATCAGTTTAGGAATGAGGCTGGGGAGCTCAGGGTAGTACCTTACCTCCTCTAAACTAGCTTTGGAGAGATGGTGGCTCCTGCATTACCTGGGGTGACTGGCAGAATGTTTGTCTGCTTTCTGGATCACCTATTGGCAGAGTTTGAATTCTCAACTGGCTTTCCTCAATGAAACTCTCCCAGCCCCACCTCCTTCGTTTGTTTGTTTTTTTTTCTTTTCTATATACTCCTCCTATTACCCCTGAAGGGATGTGAACTTCTAATGTTTATTTGAGTCAAATGGAATTGATAAGGTAAATTTGCTAAAAAGTATTATGTAGTACTTCTTGGATTCTCTGCATCAATTGAGGGAGCAGTCATGGATAATCCTAATTAGTAGAGAATCCAAAATTTAAATAATCAAAATGCCATTTTAGTTTGGAATTGATCCTGATGTAAGCACATGGGATTCACAAAATTTCAGATCAAATAATGGAGCTCCCCTGAGGGGGTTGAAATCTTAGGGTGATGGACTTATTCTGACTCTCCACCTGGCCCCCATGTCTACCCTCTGAATTCAGACCAGTACACATAACCTGCCTTTGCAGACAGGATCATTCTTTTTGTTGATCAAATTAAAACACATTAGTAATTTGTTTTTAACTGTGCCATCTGAAGGAGAGACGAGTGTCCGTGACGATCAGCCCAGGTCTAGGAATGCAAGATTCTCAGTCCCTGGAATCTGCAGCACTTCAACTGAGGAGCTGAGGAAATGGCTCTGCAGCTGGTGAAGGTGACATAACCAAGCTGCTTTATAGACCTGAGAGAACTTAAGTGAGGGGAGGATGTGGAAGGGGGGTAGGTTGAAATAAGCAGGCAGCTTGGGATGCTCCTTGGTCCTGGCTCCTTGGCAACGGTTACTTAGCAACCCTCATTCACCTCTCCTGGCTGCCTTCTCCCTCCACCTCCCCACGTCCCCCACCACTACCTCCCACCCCAACCTCAATCCCCGCCACCCTCCCTTAGCTGCTGCAAGGAGCTAGAGAGCTTGGAGTGAATGACAATTTGGAGAAACAGCCGCAGCCTGAAGATCTAAGAGGCTCTAAAGAAGATGGATAAGAAAATCGATGCATAATAAAAACTGCAGGCAAAGCCACCTTGACGGAGGGCGGGTGGCTCTCTCCTCTCGCCCTTGTTAGTCTCTCTCGGCTCAAGGCTTCCATCATCGTCCAGTGTCCTCTGCTTCCTTCTTTTTTCTCCCACCTTTTGCTGTTTAGGGAATGTTGTTTGCCTTTGGGGTGGAAAAAGGAGGAAGAAACCCAGAGGAGAAAACAAAATATATGTGGGGTGTTTGTAGGGGTGCTGAGTAAGGGAGAGAGAGGGATAAGATAAGGATTATAAGAGGGAAGCTTTGAATGAAAATGAGTTTAAATTGCACCGTAAAGTAATGCCCTTAGTCAAAAGAAAAATCTTAAGAGTAGAAATAGAAAGGCCCTATGTGTGAGTTGTGAAGTCAACCTCTCTGCAGAATATTAACGAGAATGCCTAAGCAATCTTTCTGGAAGGGTTGGGTTGGCATATGGCTTGGTTGATTAGATAATGTATGTATAAGTACCTACTACAGACACATAGTAGGGATATAACAAGTGCTACTTTCCTTTCTCTCTTAGAAGCTAAAATTGGAGGAAAAGACATTTTAGAGGTCCATGTTAACCAGAGAATTTGTGGAACAGTTCTGTGACTATGTATGGCTTTTGTTTTTACTACTTTCATATCCACACTATTGAGTCCTTTCGGATCAAACATCATCCCATTTTGTTGAAATTAGAACATATGATCAGTTAATCAATCCTTTATTTCTTGGTGTTTACGGAGCCAGAGCTCTGTTCCAGGCAGTGTGAAACTGTGATACAGTTTAGACCCTTAAAAAGGGTTTAAGTATTCACAGAGTGGGATAGAAATTCAGTAGGAAGTAGGAGGTCTCAAACGAGAACAGATATATGAGAATGCTTTGAAAACTGTAAAATGTCACAATTGTAAGGTCTATTGATGAGATTTATTTCAGGATATGAAGTCCTGCACTTCAGTGGGGAGTAGAAGCGTTTCCTGGGTAGGGAAAAGGAAGGAGATGGAACTCATTCAAAGCAGCCAGTCCTTTGGGAACACTTCTCTGTCCCAGGGAGCCATGCTGGACTGGGATTACTGGACGAACTGGTGGAGGACCAAGATCGAAGAGGACCATTCTCTACCTGTCTTGGGCTCATCTAATCTCATTCCTTTCTTTGGGGCTTTGCCGGTGGCTTAGCAGTAAAGAATCTGCCTGCCAATGTGGGAGACACAGGAGACGTGGATTCAATCCATGGATTGGGAAAATACCCTTCAGGAGGACATGGCAACCCACTTTAGTGTTCTTGCTGGGAAAATCCCATGGACAGAGGAGCTTGGCGAGCTAGGGTCGATGGGGTTGCAAAGAGTTGGACACAACTGAGCACGCACGGGTCTAATTTCCCTTTTTGCGTGTTTGCTTTCCCTTTCTCTTTTCTACCCCTCAAAGCATTAAAAAAATTCCATTATTTCAGTGGAATTTCATTATTTCAGATGTCTTCTGAATTAGAGGAGGGCTGCTGACTTTTCTGGTCTCCCTATGAATGGGCTTGGAACCCGCTACCATAGCCTCATCCTGTATCTCTCCCCCACTCCGTTTTTCAAACCCTGTCCCCTCCTCTCATTTTGCTTATATCTTGTTCTCTTTTCTCAGAATTGTTTCTGACTTTGGTGGGATATTCTAATTTAATATTTCAGTCTCTAGCCTTCTAATTTTATTTAATTTTGGGGGTTCATTTGCCCTTTATTTATTATACAATTATGACTACATTATGAGACTTTAATGTGTTGGAAGCCCATCTGTGGTTTTTCTTTCTGTATAACCAGGCCCAGAAATCTGTGAAAATAGATAGTGAAGAAAAGCTTAATGATCATACTTTCATGACTTGCTGCCTCTTATATCAGTTCTACTTCAAGCACTCCCAACTTTGTGATCTTCCATCCCATCACTGCCCTACATCCTCCTTCCTCAGGTTGCCCACTCCATTTTTTAAACTTCTGTAACTTGGACTCTTTTTATGCTTGATGCTGAGCATAAAACTCTCAAAAAATTATTGAAGGGGAGTAGGAACATCGGCTACACAAGTTAGAGTCTGACAGATACGTGCACATGAAACGGTAAACTGGGTACCAGAGACTAAGAGTACATAGTGTAAAAGGGGGCTTGGATTTGAAAATCTGGCTTACCTGGGGAAGGTTTCTCAGAGGAGGAGAATATTGAGCAGGGCTTGGAAGAAAGGAAGGGATAGACCTAGGTAAAAAAAAGAAAAGGACATGCCAGACAGAGATTGGTTTAAGGATTTGGAGGCAGAAAGAACAGAAACAGTTTTCCTTTGCTCAAAGCAGTGAGTGAGCACTGTGGAATCGCAGCATGAAACTCAAACTCTAAAGCTTAAACTGAGGAATGATCATCTGAAATTAAGAATGTGAGCTACTACTGGCCCCTAAGAAGAAGAAAAGTCAGGATAATGGTGAAGGTAAAGGATGTTGAGTTGGGAAGGGCTAGATGGAAGCCAGAGGCTTAGGAAGCTTCTGTTGTGACCAGAGACCTGGTCAGTGACCTGGCTGAGGTGTGGGGAGCGGAGGGAGCGGGAGGGGAGGGGCTGAAGATACAGGGAGCACATTGTTTCCCCAGAGCTTGCATCAGACTTCTTCCCCTGAACAAAACACTCTGTTTCAGCTCCTGCTGACTCATCCCTACCTTTCCCCCTTCTCCCCATTAGAGGAGCTCTCACAGTCCTGGTGGAGACCTGCTGCTGCTGCTAGTGGTGACAGTGACGGGAGAGGATGACGCCATGGGTCAGGACACCTGGGTTTTACTGTTTTGTGTTTCCTTGTCTATTTTTAGACCCTAACATGAAAATAAAGAAAAATTGAAAGAAACTTTTTATCACTTCCCCTCCTTCCAGGGGCTTCCCCGGTGGTTCAGAGGGTAAAGAATCTGCCTGCGATGCAGGAGATGCGGTGTTCGACCCCTGGGTCAGGAAGGTCCTCTGCAGAAGGGAATGGCTATCCACTCCAGTATTCTTGCCTGGAGAATTCCATAGACAGAGGAGCCTGGCAGGCTACAGTTCACAGGGTCGCGAAGAGTCAGACATGACTGAGCAACTATCACTCATTTACTCACTTCTCCTTCCAGGATGGATGACTTGACTATTTCAGCTAAACAGGGAGTTGCTAGACTTTCCTGAGCCTTCCTGGCCACTTCATTGCTCAGGCCACTGTCCCAAGCTTTTTACAGTATCTGGGAGATGCTGGGAAAGGTGGAGGTTGATGTTGATGAGAATGGGCTCCTTGAAGGGATGTTGAGGCACTGAGATGTAATATCCTCAAAGGCTTAAGCATATTCAGAAAAAGTTATGAGATGATGCTTGGTCTAGGAAATGGGAGGATGGAGAAAATAAATTCTCTAGACTTGAAGTTCTCGAATAAATTTCCTAGTTTGGGCAATCCTGAGTGAAAGTTGAGTGGGAAACTCCCTAGAGAGGAGAGGTTGCAATATGACAAATGTGATAACAAAAAGCTGAGGATTTTAAGAATAAAGATGGCGAGAGAGCCAGCAGTGATTGAGTAGGTTAGTTCTTCTCCCCTGGTTGCATTCCTGTGACCTGTACACACTGAAGCTGGAAGGCCCCCAAAGAAGGTTATTTTATCCAACCTTCCTTCTTATCAGAACCAAACTGAGATGAAGGAAATGAATATTTATTGAGCATTTATTAGGTGCAAGGCACTGGTGTACTCTTTCCATGTGTTTCTCATGAAGTTAAATCCTCATAAAACTCTCTACACTGTGCTCAGAATGTAAGGTCTCAGCTAATAACTGGTAGAGCTGTAAGGTAAACTCACTTCTTCTGTTGGCCAGTGTGGTATCTCCAATCATACTATAGGCACAACTGTGTGCGTAGGCACTGTGCTAAATATTTTTGGGATGATAAAAAGAAAGCCAGAATCCCTACCTTCCAGATGGTTGGTCATTTAGGGAAAGTGCTCAGTCACTCCGTTGTGTCCGACTCTTTGCCACCCTGTGGAATGTAGCCATCAGGCTCCTCTGTCCATGGAATTTTCCAGGCAAGAATACTAGAGTGGGTTGCCACTTCCTACTCCAGGAGATCTTCCTGACCCAGGGATGAAACGCGTGTCTTTTGCATCTCCTACATTGGCAGGCAGATTCTTTACCACTAGCACAGCCTGGGATGCCTCATTTGGGGAAGTATTAATTTATTTGACTGTAGTATTGGGAAACTATACACCAAGGCAGTAAGACATGCCCAGTGATACAGACAGCTGAAGCTATTGGAATTCTGAGAATGAAGGGAGAATTGTGCCAGGAAGGCTAGGGAAAGCTTCATGGAAGAGGTAGGATTTTAAGGAAAAATTTAAGATTGGACAAGAGAATATTTTACATGGTTGGAATGCACAACGGCTTGGAAAGAAGAAGTAAAAGACATATTTTAGGGATACTCAAGAGAGCCTTCTCTGAGCTTCTTAAGGTCAAGAATGATATATATTCACATTTGCTCTCTCAACATGCCAAAGATGTGGAAGGTAAATGTTAAAGCATGTTTGTTGAATAAATGAAAGAGTTACCCATTTATCTGGCACTGAGAGTTCATATGAGGATCTTGAAAGAGATATGAACAGAACTGTAGGTTCTAGTGCAGAGGATGAAATGACATAAAAAAAAACTGTTTAAATGAGATTATTCTTGAGGCAATGGGAAGATAACTTGGAAAAAAGACAGAGGCAGGGATGCTAGTTAGATACTAGTGTAGAAGTTTAGATGAGAGATGCTAAAAGACTAACAATGGCATGGGAATAGACATGAAAGGATGGCGGTATCAACCCTGTGAAAAGCAGAACCTGATCACTGATGGACTTTGATGGGGATGGGGTGGGGAGTGTAGGTACGATGGAGAAGAGGGTACAAGAAATGGGAATCAAAGATGAAGCTGGAGGTTCTTAGCTTTGGTGATTGATAGAATACTGGAACCTGTTTAAAGAAAAAGAGGAAGTTAGAAGAGCTGGTTTGGAGGATAATATGAATTACATTTTATATTAAGTTGCTGTAGAACCCGCACTAGGTAAATTTATCATACACGGGAAGTAGAGGACTAGGGAGAATGTGGTCAGGTATGGGAGGATAGACTGAGAGCTCACCTACATAGAAATAATAATCAAAGCTGTGAAAATGGGTGGGATAATTGAGGAAAAAAAGTATCCAGAGGGAAAGCTAGAAAGTTGGAGGTTTCTTTGGGAAAGAGAGTACATGATCGGTCCACCTTTTAATGTCTTCTGGTGTTGTTACCAGCTTTTTTTTGTCTAATTCTTGAGAGGTGAGGTTAAGTAACTCTGGAAACAGAAAAGACCCTATGTTCAGCCCTCTTGAGTCTCTTCTCTGCTGAAGTCTGGATCTTGACCAGTACAGTAACAGACTGGCTTTCATGGAAATTTTTTAGCTTATCTTGCTGAAACAGATGGAGCCTCTCCTAAAAAGATGTGTCTGTCTTCTCAATTTTCAACTCCCTAGAGAAGCAAATACCCGGCAGTTCTGTTCAGGCTAGCTTAAAGTGCTCACGCTTCGATGCAAACCTGTTTTGCACCAATTTATGAAAGACTAAGAACCTCAGTCTGGGAAGTGGGTGGGTGGGGTGGACAGTGATTTTCTCTTGAGCCCCAGACGCTGACTTTTTCACAACTCCCCACCCTTCTTACTTTTCATCTAGAAATCTCAAAGCTCTAAACAAGCCTTGATCCTCCCTGACCCCCTGAGTCATCTTCGGCTTCCATTTTCCCAGATTGGGAGGGGAGCTGTGGGATACCATGTTTGGAGATGATGTTTGGGGTGGGTGGGTGGGCAGGAGAGGGGCAGCCTGGGGATCCAGGCACCCCTTCCCCATCACAGGGTGGGATGAGGGGCAGGCATCAAGGTGGATCTACATCGTTTGGTTTCAGCTTGTTCTTTTGAGGCTGTTTTATGACTGAAGAGACTCAGCTAAGGAGTCCAAGCTGGAGAAATTGAAGAACAAACAAAACCATAAAAGATGCCGATAAAATTCCTCCCAGCTCAGAATAGTCTTTGGAGCCTGTCTCAGGAATCTCAGAGTAATCTGGAAAAGGCTAATTAACTCTCACCGCCCCCAGTGGGGACCGAGACTGGACCAACGCAGAACCAAGTTAAGAGAAGAGAGCATCGAGAGAGAGAGCTCCTTTCTCTCCTCTTCTCTCAAGAGGCCCACGGTTCAAAGCTCCAATTTAGATGAATTAAGACTGAGCGGGGAAAGGGGAATGGACAATGGGAAAGACTGATATTTTGTAAGACCCCTTTTCATTAGGAGTGCTTAAGATTCTGGGGGGTGGGTGGGAAGAATAAGTGATGAGGACCCTGAATTGGAGAACATTAAGAATGGAGGGTAACTGGATGGGATGAGAGGCTCTGGGACTGTGGAAATAGTGGCTGTGTATGGGGAGGTGTGAAGAATGGGGGTGAAGGTGCCTGGACTTGGAGGATGGCAGTATGAGGGTGAGCAGTTGTGAACTGGGGTTTATGAAACAAATGGATCTATATTTGGGGACTAGTTGAAAAGGGGTTCTGGATGGGGGCAACTGTGTGAGAAGAGGGAAAGGGCTCAGAGGGGTGCCGAAAATGGATGGTGGGGGTGAAGAGGAACATCTGTGTGAGAGAAGAGGTGTGATGGTGTAGGAGAGAATCTCAGCTGAGGTGAGTGGTTAGAAAGCCAAGGGTCAGTCTTCCCCCCCTGCCCAGACCAGCTATTTTTCTGTTCTTTGTTCCAAATGAGTTAGTGTATTGGTCACAAAGAGGAATTTTGTGAGCTGGATATGACTTAGAGGTGGGAGGGAAAGAGTTGATGGGAAAGTGTGTGAGAGGGGGAGCCAGAGAGACTGCTGGTTTCCATGGTGATGGCTGAAATCTTCATTTCTATTCTGATTCCTGCAGCAGGTCAGGAGAAGCAGTAAGGGAGAACTGCTACCTTTTCATCCTCAAAAGAATCAAAATCTGGGATGGGGAGGTGGGTGAGAGTAGAGGTCTTATTAGGGGTAGAGTCTAGTTCCAAGGTTAACTGAATTATCTACTCTGATTTCTCTAGGTACATTCAGGAAGTCTGTGGATGGAAAGATGCAGCAGAAGCCTGTGTCCCTTCTTACCAGTGGTGTGGTCTGGGGTTTCAGTGAATCTTTGGAACAGCGCCATCCTTATCTGTATATAGACAGATGGACCTCTCCTCTGAAACCAGAGACTAATTTGGGTATCCACGGTCCAATGATCCTTCCTGAAAATTTCCTTGCAGCAATAGGAACTGGTTTCTCAAACACTGTATCTCTCCAGCTCTTCAAGGCACCTCAGCATAGTCTGTCTGCTGTTGAACAGAAGACATTGAATCAGGGGACCAGAAGGTGATAATGGAGAGTGGGTACATAAGGCTAGCGAAGAAGCTGTTGCTTCTATGGCTCAAGTGTCAAAAGTGTGAGGCCTGGATATGGTAAAAATCCTGGCTGTACAATTCTATCCACTTTTCCTATGAAAGCCAGTGAGCTTGAGTTCCTCTCCAGAAGACACCTAGCTTATTGAAGAGTCTACCCTGCTTCCTGTCCCAGATCCCTTGACGTTTGCCCCAGTCCTACCTCCTTTGTAATCAGTTCTTGAGTTGAAGTGGGCGCCCAGATGCCCAGCAACATGAGATCATGTCTTAGGCATAGTAGCTTCTATGTGCTCCCCGAATTCCTTCCACCTGCCTGACTTGTCTAGTGACTTCTCAGTAAAGCAGTTGCCAAAGCTGGCTTCTCCATCCTTGCTGATTTGCTGTGGGATGTTTGCTGAAAAAATATCTGTCTCCTACTTGTCTGTCTTACACTCCCTTCTTCTTAGCAGCCGTCTTCTTAGCCGTCCTCTTCTTAGCACCTAACATAGTCCCTGACTTACATGGTCCCCAAGGAGGTACCTCTAAAAGGAGGCACCAACTGTGCTTCTTGCATAGAAATTTCCCCATAACCTTCTTTTTCCCTGTGACCCTGCTCCCATCTCGTACCACTGGTGTCCTGGGGACCCCTAGTTCCCCTAGTTCTCTTGCTCCTGTGCCCCCTAAGCCTGTTTCTCCTTCTGGGTATGTGGGAGCTCCTGGGCTCCCCCCACCCTTCCCCCTCTTGTCTCCTTCCTGAGCTTCCTCTCAGCCTCTCCTAATCTCCCTACAATGCCCCTACCTTCCTTTCTCTTCTCTCTCTACCCCTTCTTGCCGAGGACCTGGTAAGTGCCAGCCAGCTGGGGACCTGGTCGGTTCTGAGGGACACACAGGCTCTGAGCAGTTTGAGGAAGCACGGAGTACCTGAGCAATTTTGATAGAAGGCGACAAGTGAAGGCCCCTGGCCATCTTTTCCCAAAGTCCTCTTTCAGCTGTGACAAGTTGGATGGACTCTTATCCCTTAGTATTGCTTTCTAATGTTTCAGAATTTCTACAGATGGTTAATTCTTCTTGATACCTAACTTGAGTTACCTAACTCCTGTAGTCAAGATCATTCCCTGGGCTTCAGTATTTAATAAACAAGTAAGTATTTTAAAATGAGCCTCATAACCATAATAATACCTACTTTCCCATATCTTGGGATGTTTGTGAAGACTGGTTGAAATGATGGGTATAATAGTTCCCTAAAAACTTTGTGAAAGTTAGATCATGACTCCCTCTTAACTTCTCAGTGGAAATGCAGAAGAGCCTTTCTCTCCTATAAATAGTATAGCTAAAAAGAGAATATTAAATAATTATGAATTACATCAGCCCTTAGTCTTTTCCCTCTGTATTAATTTGTAGACAGCAGTTCTTTGATCTTTGTTGCCAATGAGACACATGTCCCTTTAAAAGTTTTTCTTGAAGAAAACAAATACTTGTCCTTGAAGTAAGAGGGACTGAGGACAGACTTCAGAAAGGAGTCCTTAACCACTTAGGCATGAGAACATAAGTAAAAGGAGAGATCTAACAACTGTCTCCCCCCACCCCACCTCTATCATGAGGTAGTTCCTTGGTGTTATCATGGGAGACAAGGGGATTTCTCTGATGACCCGGGAGGAGTTCGGGATTACATGGGAGAGCGGTAGTGATGCTTTTATCCCAGATGATGGATTTCCAAAGAGAAATTAAGAGTCTGACTAGGCTGTCCTGAGTCAGAAAATATCATCGAGCTCTGTTCGTATTAATGACTTAAGAGCAGCCGCTGGATTCACCCCATTACTTACAGAGGGTGGAGGCAGAAAGCTGGGGCAGAAACTGCTCAGGGGCAGAGAACGTGCCTGGAATCCGGGATCTTCCCAGCTCCCTGGAACCCTGGCTGTCCGAGCTCACCCTGACGGATAGGTTGCGATGGGGTATCGCTCTGGGGTCTCTCCACTGGACGGATCAGCATAACGGATTTCAGGGGAACTGCTTCACTTTTCTGAGGTTTCCTTTCTCCTCTACCCGCCTCCCCTCTGACCCGAGGAAACATGTTTGGTTTCCCCAGACTCCCTCCTCAACCCCATAATCCTGTCAGGGATTTCTTCTAGTTGTCTGGCTTGAAGCTCATCCTTAATTTTCAGGCAAGCCAACTTCACAGCCCGCGCCTGGTAGAAACGTTGACACAGCGTGCTGGCATTCTGTTGTGTGCAGCCCCTTCTGTAGCCCAAGGATGTCCACGCCTCTGACTGTAGACAGACCTGTCTCTTTGCTCATCTGGCCTCTTAGGGTGGCCACTATTTTCTTCTTGGGAAGGTTTCCAATTTGGATGGTTGGTAGGTTCTTTTCACAGTTTGTTTTCATTCTCTACCAGTTCAGCTCATCCCTTTCCTCCTGAATTCCCTTGCAGAGACAGGAAACAGCTGCATATTCCCAAGGACTCTGAGCCTGGGCATTTTAAGAGCTGGCCTTTCCTCATTGTTGGCTTGCTTTCTCACTTGCAGGCTGCTGAGCAAGAAGATCCGTGCACTGCCCGTGCAGCAGCTCCTAGTGACTCAAGATGAGCAGGTCGAGCTCAAAGACTCAACAGAAACCCATTTGTAATGTGGTTGTTTTTCTTTCAAATCCTTAAGAACATAAGCATCGCACATTATGGTAGGAGAATGAAGTGGAGGCAGGGTGGGGCTTGGGGTTGAAAGAGTTCCAGATTTTAGTTTACTTCAGGAGGCCCATTTTCCAGCATCTCTTCTGTCTGGAGTGGGCTTGGATCTTAGTCCTATTTAAATTTTAAAATTTTTAGTCATTTTTACATAGTAGTGCCATCTTTTTATGACTTCAGCCTCCACTATGAATTTTTTTGTGGTAAAATAGATATAACATAAAATTGTCCATTTAAGCCATTTTTATGTGTGTGGTCTTCAGTGGCATCAAGTTCCTTCACATTGTTGACCATCCATTGCCACTGTCCAGCTCCAGAACATTTTCATCTTTTCAAATTGAAACTCAGTGCCCATGAAACACTAACTCCCCACCCCCTGCCCCTAGCCCCAGGCATGCCTCCACTACCATTTGACTTAGCTTCTTATAGCACCATTCTGACCACAGAGGCTTGCTTTCTTCTGTTAAATTTCAGGTCCTAGGGCTGAATTTCTAGACCCATCTCCACTGCCCCCATGGACTACCTCCAATGAGCTCCTAGCATTGCTTGGCTCAGAGTCCTGCTCTGAGAGGCAATCCTGGCCCCATGCTCCTGTTCCAGGGTCCTTCTTTCCCACCTGATCCTGTGCACGTGTTGCCCCTCCCCTTTGCCCTGACTTTCCTCTTCTGTTCCATACTTCTGCTTCGACATCCTGCCTGATGTCCTACGATGCCCCGGCCTTAATCACATGACCTATCCCTCCCGCACTGTGTAGCGTTCTGCCTGGCGGCTCTTAGCCCGTTCTCGCCTTCTTTGTGTCTTAGTTTCCTCTCAGACTGGAGGCAACCTCAAGGCAAGAGCCTCTCACAGAAATCTCCCCTGGGTTCACCTACTCCATCCTAGATCCTCCACACTCACAGGGTGGCCTGGGCTCCAACAGTATTGGGGGCCTCACTTCAGAGCTTGTTAGAAATGCAGAATCTTAGGCTCCACCCCAGACCTGTGGAGTCAGAATCTGCATTTGGACAGGATCCCCCATGCTCATTGGAAAAGACCCTGATGCTGGGAAAGATCAAAGGCAAGAGGAGAAGGGGGCGACAGAGGATGAGATGGTTGGATGGCATCACCGACTCAATGGACGTGAGTTTGAGGAAATTCTGGGAGATAATGAAGGACAGGGAAACCTGGCGTGCTATGATCCATGGGGTCACAAAGAGTCGGACAGGACTGCATGACTGAGCAACAACCCCATGCATAACAAAGTGAGAGAAGCTCCGCTGAAGGATGGATGATACATAGTTATCTTGTAGATGTGCCTGAGTAAAAGCTACTGAAGTCGCACTCCAGACTAGATTCAAACTGTGGTTATTTTTGAAGAGGGGGAAAAGGATATTTGTGTCCTTTGAATTGATGAAACCCCATCAGAATTGCCTGGAAAGCTGGGAACTGACTCTGCGAGGCTGGGAGGGCGCAGGAGACAGTGTTCTTGAGGGGAAGGCTTGGGGCCCTCCCAGGCATCTGTCTCCGAGTTGCGTAGGACAGAGTTCAAGCTCCCTAAAATTCTCTTGGAGATTGACTGATGGTGTTCACCTCAGAATGGGACCTTGTCCCCAGCCAACATTTGTCCCTAAGGTCCTAGGGAAAGGCAGAGCTCACAGATCTCAAAATAGCCTCCTGGTTTCTATCTCCGCCACCGGTGCTGATTCATATTTTGTAGGAGGGTTGACTGTAGCTGGGAATGGCTGAGGAGCTGGTGTAATTCCCTCCTTCCTCCTCACCCCACAGAGAGGGAGTGCGGAGAAGCACAGAGAGTGGAGACAGGGTGTGGGAGTCAAACCTGTTCTTCACATAGCAATCTCCTCGTCTCACTCTTCACTCCAACTCCAAGAAGTTGAATCCACAGCTGGGAAAACTAGGAACCGGTCTCTCAGTCTGCTTGGCTCATAGCCAGCTTCCCTCTTTTTTGTTCTCTCTCCTGTCGGGAATCAGGGAGAGTAGGTAACATGCTCCCTTGCTCTCCCAGATTTGGGTGTAGAACTGTGATGTCCAGAAGCACACTTGGAGGTAGGAGCATGAAATTCTTTAGACCAGTGCTGGGTGCTTCTTGGTCATCTCCAGGAGAGGATGCCAGGAACTACTGGCCTTGCCTCTTTTTAGATCTTGAATGGGATTATAGAGCATCTAGAGAGCAAAGTGCGTGCAAGCTCAGTTGCTCCACTGTGTCCAACTCTTTGCGACCCCCCGAACTGTAGCCCACCAGGAGCCTCTGTCCATGGGATTCTCCAGGCAAGAATACTGGAGTGGGCTGCTGTTTCCTCCTCCAGGGAATCTCACTGACCCAGGGATAGAATCCACATTTCCTGTCCTGGCAGACAGATTCTTTACCACTGAGCTACCTGGGAATCCCAGAGAGCAAATACGTTTGGGGTAAACTGGGGAAGAAGAGGTGACCTGCTGAGTGGGAAAATAATATAAACGAGAGGTTTCCCCCAGAGTCATGGAAGGAGATTACTCTGCATCTTTCCTACGTTTTTCTGGGCTCCTGAGTCTCTAAATTTTGCTCTATTGGTGGAGAAATGTGTTTCTTGGTTTTTTCCTAGTGGTAATTTTGAGAGCAGAGACCTCCAGACACACAGCCTCATGTGTGTCTCTTGTCATCTCCAAGCATTTATCCCATTGATGGAGGAATGGGTAAAGAATACGTGGTATATATATACACAATGGACTATTACTCAGCCATGTAAAGGAAACAAATAATGCCATTTGTAGCAACATGGATGGACCTAGAGATTGTCATGTTGATGAAAGAAATCAGACAGAGACAAATATCATATGATAATTGCATATATATGGAATCTAAAAAAATGCTACAAATGAACTTATTTACAAAACAGAAATAGAGTCACAGATATAGAAAACAAACTTATGGTTACCAGAGGGGAAAGTGTGGTATTCGGAGGGATAAACTGGGAGACTAGAATGACATATACACACTACTGTATTATGTGTAAAATAAATAACTGACAAGGACCCACTCTATGGCACAGGGAACTCTTCTCGATACTTTGTAATGACCTATATGGGGAAAGAGCCTAAAAAAGAGTGGATAAATGTATATGTGTATCTGATTCACTTTGCTGAATAGCAGTAACTAGCACAATATTATCAATCAACTATAATCTAATAAAATTTTTTTAAACAAAGCATTTCTTAGGCTTCCCTGGTGGCTCAATGGTAGGAGTCCTGTCAACACAGAGGATTCAGGTTCATTCCTTGGTCCAGGAAGATCCCACATGCTGCGGAGCAACTGAGCCTCCGTACCACAACTACTGAGCCTGTGCTCTCGAGGCCGGAAGGTGCAACTGCCGGAGCCCAAGTGCCCTAGAGCCCGTGCTTTGAAACAAGAGAAACCACTGCAATGAGAAGCCTGCACACTGCAACTAGACAGTAGCTCCTGATCCCTCCAACTAGAGAAAAGCCAGCAAAGCAAGGAATACACAGCACAGCCAAAAATAAGTAAATAAATTTAAGAAATTTTAAAAAGCATGTCTCTTTTGGAGCAGTGCCCTTTGATTTCACCATGTGTAATAATCTAATCCTTGAGTGTTATGCATGCCTGGAAGTGGTAGGGTAAGGCACTGGGGACTGATAGTCAGGACCACAAGGCTGGGTGCACCCCAGGCCTTTCAGAATATCGACAGTGCCTACAGATAGTAGATTTCCAGCATTTCGTTATTCAGAATAAATAATAACACTCCTTGTTTCTCTCTTCTCTGTGGGGTGGTATGGGGCCGGTCATTTCATCTATTACCAGTGTGTGTGCTAAGTCACTTCAGTTGTGTCTGACTCTTTGCGATGCTCTGGACCATAGCCATTCCATGGGATTCTCCAGGCAAGAATACTGGAGTGGGTTGCTGTGCCCTCCTCCAGTGGATCTTCCCAAACAGGGATCAAACCTGGGTCTCCTACATCTACCTGCACTGGCAGGTGGGTCTTTACCACTAGCTCCACCTGGGAAGCCCAGTGTATCTCCCTCTTATATTTTATACCAGCTGTGGGAGCTCAGAACCACTGCTCCACTCCAACTTTGGGTTCAGTATGTCCATTTCCTAAACACACTCATTTTCACCATCAAACTGAAGTCTCCCTGCCCACGGGAATGACACCTCCTTTCTCTGGATCTCACTTCATACCAGTGTCAGTATACAGACTGGCTGATGAGGATGAAATTTTAGGAGATTCCCCCCCACCTTTCCACTTCAAAGAGTGTCTAAGATTTTGATTTATGAGAGAAGTAACAGGCCTTTTTTTTTTAAGAACCCCTCAACTTCTAGGTCAGGTTATGTTGATTCAGTTGAGCAAAACTTCTGATGCGGCTATAGCTTTGAGTCTGTATTCTGTCTCAGCCTTCTTTCTGGAGAGGATTCAACGTTTGGGGCACAGGAAGTGGGGGATATTAGTGGTGACTGGGATGTGGAGAAAATGTGAAATTTTAGCCAGGAGAAGCTATCTCAGAAATCTGTAATGAGCGTGTGTGTTATTTCTTTTCCAACAGGCTGCATAATTTTTATGACCAATTATTCCATTTGTAATGACGCTGAGATAACAGAGATCCCATCTCATGCTCTGTGGCACACGCCAGGCACTTGTGGGAGCTAGAAGATGCCATCGCTTATCCAAGAATTGGATGGCAAAGTCTGGCGACTGAGATTCAGTTCTAGCAGGGGAGAACAGGAGTGCTGAGGAAAACTTTGTGAACATGAAGGGTGTCAGGTATAGGACGGGAAACATGGAGAGGACTGTTGTTTTACAACAAAAGAGATTTATTGGGTATAGATAAAAAAAACACAAAAGTTGTCTTCCAGCCTGAGAATTTTGTGATCCAACACAGTTTCTGATGATGTTATATTTACACATAACAAATGAACAGATGTCTGGCTGTGGAGACAGTGCCATCCCAAGCCAGAAGGAGCCAGTTTCCCCCCTCCCCCCACCAACAAAGAATTTCAGGGCTCAATTAGAGAGGAGGGTTAGGAAAGACTAGGCCCAGCCTAAGGGGAGGATGCTCTTCTTGGGGCTAGTGGTTCTCCATTGAGTCTGGACAGAGCTGAGAATCTCCTTGACAGATCTGGTAATTGGTCCATTGGGCCTGAAGGCAGGCAAGTTAAGGACATCAAGTTGCTCCCACTGATTGGTCTGGAACATTTACCTGCTCTTGTCTCTATGGTTTTCTCCAGGGCATCTACTTA